CCATGCCGCCCCGTCTCCGGTGTCCTCAGCTCTGACCCTAAGGCTGGAAGTCGGCGCTAGAGAGCCAGTCGCGGAGGCGGAGCATGTGGGAACTCGGCGCCATAGAGGGAGGTTGCTTGCAGGGCGCCGACGTCACGGCGAAGGCCGCCACCAGCGATCAGAGGGTAGGACAGGGTGAAGCAGCGTCATAACGCGGTGAGGCAGGAAGGAGGGATGCTCGTGGGTATTTGTTACGGCCGTGGATCATGGGATTATTAGTAGGAGGATTTTTTTGGAAACAAAAACATGACGGAAGGGGGTGCTCGATCGTGGGGATTTTTAAAGCCGTGAATTGTGGAATTAGTGGGAGAGAATTTTTGGAAAGAAAAATAGGACGGTAGGTGGGATCGGAGGAACTGCGAGGGAGGAAGAAAAGAAGAACATAAGAGGGGAAAGGGAACCTTACGTATCTTTTAGGTAGTAGAGATAGAGATAGAGATTTCATCACTAACCCATCATCAATTCGCCACACACACATTCACTGGTTGGAGTAGCACAGATGCGCACCATCTATCAGCAGGCACACACATCTAACAATGGAGAGAGAGAGAGAGAGAGGTGAAGGATCAAGTTATCTACGTGAGGGAGAGGAAGTCGTTGACATGACGAAGCATGGAGGAAGTGATCTCAGGGCAGCGGATGGAGGTGGGTTCGTGGCCTAGGGCTCCGTGCGATTTAGAGAGCAATTCCTATGCGTTTGAGTAGTGGCCGCCGGGCGGCGTGGCGCGGCGCGGCTGCATCATATCGCTAAGGGCATGTACAACGCTCCACCGTGAACAGCTGCTCCACAGGCCCACGTAGGCTCGGATGCTAGGTGGAGGCAAAGGTATAGCCTCGCAGGTGACAGGTGCATCCTGCAGAAGAAGCGGCTGCTTCGTGGAGAAAAAAAAAATTAAGGAAAAGCATGAGAGAGAAAAGGCGAAAAAAAAGGAGAGAGGGATGTCCCTGTACTAGTTTGCTAGTCAGCCAAGGTGAAGATGGAAAGCAAAAACTAGTAAAGTATGAAGGGGAGAGAAAGTGGGGGGTCCATTTTACTGCTGCCCGCATTGAGCAGTGCGTAATTTAAACGCTGGTTTCATCTAAATTTATTTAGTTTTAGGCATGAGGCACCGGTATGGTGATGCTTCCGTTGCTCATGCCCTAAGGTGTGCCTGCGTCAATAACCTCGGCGTGTCCTTCGGGAGCTGAGTTTGATTTGTGAATTGCCCAAAATACCCTTAATGCCTTGATATACTGCACAAATTGTGCGGTAGTATTGGTCAATCCGGTGTGTTGGTCCACTAAAATGGATGGCCCATATATCTTAGATGTACCATAAAAAGGTCTCCAGAGGAAACCGTAGAGTAGCTTCTCTTGCCCGTGGCGGGATCGCCGGTGTTACGCTTGGTGGCGATGACGTTCTTGACAGAGCGGTTGTTGATCCCGTCGGTGCCGAGATGGTAGGTAGTACGTGCCGCGGCGGTCATGGCAGATTGCGAGCGTGTGTTTCAGCGACCGTGTCCCCGGCCGGAGCACGCGTGCCGCGCTCGCGCTCCATTCACGTTGCGGCCTGCGCGTCGGTACGTGCAGGCGGCCGGCGTGCGTGACATACGTGGTGAACCGAACGCGCTCGCGCTCACGATCGGTTAACAGAAGGCGCTGGGTTGGCCAGTCAACCGGTGCGTGCGTACCCGGGTCGCGGGCGGGCTGGATACATGGACGCACCACGGCGGAGCAGTCCGAGAGCGACCGCTTCGTGGCTGGCTATCGTCAACACGGACCGACATGCCCACGTCCAAATCCTGAAATCCAACTGCGCATAGTACGTCACGCACACCGAATCTTGTGGTTAGATTTTTTTCCCCGGGCATTCGCACACTCAGTCTAAAGAAAGTGAATATTAGCACAAAATTTCTAATTTGGTGGTGGTCGTTGGTTGCTGCCAGCTACCACCATGCATAGTTGTGCCCTGTTTGGAATCTCTTCACTGTGCGGAGTTGGAGAGATCGGTTTTGGGAGCTCCGTTAAAATGAGCTGTAGTCTGATCTGTTCCGGGAGTGGAGAGGAATTGAACACTCCCTTAGCTAAGAGCATCTTCGATAGATATGAAAAACCGCCGACGTGGGAGAAAGCTGAAATTTATGGTACTTAGGCCAAAAACACGGTCACGACAAATGTCCTATCTATAAATGGTGTCTAAAAATCCTTTGCCATTGTGCTTAGGACAAAATCCTATGTCGATGCCGCTCGTGCCAAACCGTGGCATCCAAACCGAACGTCGTGTCAAGGAGGAGCCGCCGTCCCCGACGTGCGTCAAGGAGGAACCGTCATCCCTGTCGCGCGGTCTTTTCTGCAGTGGCAATGAGGTGGTGCCGCCAACCCTGCCCCGTGTACAGTCCAGGGGGCAAGCGACGCTAGGTTGCCATGAAGAAGGATGAGACGTTCTTCTCGGTGGTGGCGGCGACTCGTCCTCAACATTGACGCTTCGAGGTGGCTGCACATCAGGAGCAGCGCTCAGTCACTCGTGAGGTTGCACGTCCCGCCGCCCTGGCCCTATCGACATGCCAGGACCACCGAACGTACCTCCGCTCGCCGACGGCGCCGGATCAACGACCAACTCCTCAAAGTGGGGATGGCTGAGTCCAAGCGCTTGGCCCGATACAAATCAGACCTCACGTAGTTTAGATCATTTTTATAAAATTTCCTTTGGTTACTATCAGACTATGTGAACTTTTTGTCCTTTTGATTGTAACCATATCAAAATAATTATCATCCGCTTTTTGTTAAATATCTGTTTTAATTTGGCAGGATATTCAGTGACTCCGTTTCGGTTGGCGTTCGCCTCTATCGGTGTCCATGGACACGTTACCTTGTATGCGTTGGAGTTTCCTTGACCTAATTGGACATAATCTCTCGCAAAAAAGAAAATTGGACATAACCAAAGTGAAGGAAGCACCAACTAAGAAAAGAAGCGAAGGAAAGATGGTAGAATATCAAAGCGAAGAAATTGTAAAAGGAGGTTGGAGCGGATCCTAGTATATTTTTCTGTGAAATGTACTGTAGTACACATGGTTCCTTAGAGAAAGATCCCATAGGATTTAACCCTATAAATCAAACAACAAATTGAAAAACGCCTCTGGAATTTCTCTGACTAAACGAGACGGAGGAGACGGGGAAAAATATCAAAATGTAGCGTGGGGCCCAGTCATAAAATGCGTGCTATTTCTGCGCGACGCCAAACCGAGCCGGAGGGTTTCCACTTGGGGATATACCTGGCCATGGGAAGCCCGGCCCGCCCGGCCCGGCCCGAAAAAGCCCGACCCGGTCCGGTCCGACGCTGCCCCCGGGCCGGGCTCGGGCCTAGATTTTGAGCCCGAAGGTCAGGCCGGGCCGGGCCCGGGCCCGTCATTTTTGCGCTTTCCTGAAGGTCGGGCCGGGCCGGCCCGAAGCCCGACAGGCTTTTAGGTGTTCGGGCTGGGCTCGGGCCCAAAAAACAGGCCCGTTGGTCGGGCCGGGCCGGGCCTGGGCCTGGGTTTTTTGCGTCGGGCTTGGCTAGGCCCGGCCCGAAGCCCGGCCCGGCCCGGCCCGAGGTATGGCCAGGTATACTTGTGGATAACCAGTACTACAGTACGAGCACGCGCCGCTTAGCCGCGAAGGAACGGAAGGAAGCAAACCCGCGGCTGCAAGTCTCAGTGGCTGCCGAGTCGTCGTCCTCTTTCTCCTTCCTTGCCCCACCCCCACCGCAACGGCAAAGCCAAAGCCAGCCACCAAAGCACTCGCCCACCCTCCGCCCTCCCCAGCGGCACCCCAGCAACCGCCTCCCCGGAGAAAGC